AACTATTTAACAAACAGTTTGTATTTACAGTAATGTGCAACTCACACCAGCTCTCACTGCTATATCCTGGTTAATTAGACTGTGCACTCTGCTGGGCCCATAACCAATGTTAGTGTTTGGGGATAAACCCCCCAAGCAGAATATGCAGCAGCAGTCAAGCCAGGCAGGCAAATGAGAGAGAGAGTGGGCCCAAGAGTATACACACACTGGAGACAAAAACACTGTGGTTTTAAAATAGTTATTTATTGCACACAGAGATTAAGAAGTGTCATTCAGTCCATATATCATTATCCAGTATATCCATCCAGTTATCAAGTCCATTAACAGTAAATACAATGTCCTTATCTGCTTGTAAATCTTCTCATCCCGATACCTTTCTCTCTAAGACAACGCTGAATCCTCAGCTCACCAGGCAAACAGTCCTTGTGTTCAGTTGAAATGGTATCTGGCACAGTAGCCTCCAAAAGTAAGCAGATAGACGTTCCAACACAGCAGGCAGCAGACCAGGAACAGTAACCAGGTGCATCCAGAAGCAGCATCTATGACGTTTCCCTTCCTACCTTTATTACTGCCTGCAACCTCACCCACAATGACATTGCAGTTTCTTGCTTAAAGCTACAAGACACTTAATCCTAGGTTTACATATTTATTCAACCCAAACCTGGTTGGTGTATCCATATACCCAACACAGTGAATTTAAAATAATAGCAAAACTTTAGTGGTTACAATGTACATTTGTGCACGTGCACGGATGATCAACCCTGAAGCCATTTTGGAGCATCTTCAGGGCTGCCATAGCGGGGCTGGCTAGAGGGAACGGGAGGAGGGAGACAGAGATAGCTGGGCACTTGTAGCCAAAACAAAATTTCTTTCTCCTGGGAACCAAGGACATTCTCACCAGGTGCTGGGGAGGCAAGGACTGAAACCAACTGGAGTCCAGTGGTGAAACACCCACAATTTCTGGAGAGAAGCCGTTCCTCTGTTAGGAAGTTTCTTCTAAATTCCAGGTTGTTCTCCCCTTGGTTAGTTTCCATCCATTGTTTCTTATCCTGCCCTCTGGTGCTTTAGAAAATAAGGAGGAAGGAAGGAAGGAAGGAAGGAAGGAAGGAAGGAAGGAAGGAAGGAAGGAAGGAAAAAGGGGGAGGGAGAGAAAGGAGAGAGGAAGGAAGGAGGGAGTGGGAAGAAAAAGGAAGGGTAGAGGGTGGGAAGGAAGATTGAAAGGAAGGAAGGAGGAAGGGGGTAGTGGGGCAGAGAGAGATGGTGGGAATGGGAAGTGAAAAGAAGGAAAGAGGGGAAGGAAAGAAGAAAAAGTAATGGTGGAAGGATAGGAGGAAGGGAAAGTGGGTTGAAATAAAGACATCCGTTACTTCTAAGGTAAAGATAAAGGTTCCTTTCACACACATTTCTTAGTTGTTTCTCGCTCTGGGAAATTATAAGGAAGGAAATTAATAAAAAAAATAATCACTCTCCATAAAAGCAACTCAGAATCTCAGAAATCTTCAGACTCCATGACCATTTACTCTAGTTTAAACTCCTTAGGGTTGACATCCTTCCTTCTGCTCTGCACTCTGCTCATAGAAATGAGCAACAGACATACAAAAATGCCCCCCCTCCCCCACAATTTCCCACAGTTACAAAAACCCAGGACGGCACTTCAATAAATCCTACATCCGTGTTTCTGTTTCTGGAAAGGCTCACTTGAGCATCCACCCACTGTTCTACTAATAGGTGGCTGTTGCTACAATATGTTCTCATTAGCCTTTCTTTGCTTCCTGACAATCGTTGGGAAAGAAAATCCATCCCAGCGAGAATTTGCCGAGACAGGAAAAGAGGAGGAAACAAAGAGAATAATTAAGATGCATGAGAAGAGGAGGATCAGAGCGAGCCAGCTGTGAGATAATAGGATTGGATCAGTTCTGCATCTCTGCATCAAAGGTGGTATTCAGCAGGGTTCTGACCCGTTCTAGAGAACCAGTAGCGAAAATTTTGAGTAGTTGGGAGAACCGGCAAATACCACATCTGACTGGCCCCGCCTCCATCTATTCTCTGTCTCCTGAATCCCAGCTGAGCAGCTGGGTCTTCTTTCGTTGCCCTGCATAGGAGAACGGAGCTGGAAAGCAGGTTAGTGGGGTGGGGAGGGAATGGGATTTTGCAGTAACTTTCCCCCAGGAGTTGGGAGGGAATGGAGATTTTGCAGTATCCTTCCCCTGCCACACCCACCAAGCAACGCCCACAGAACTGGTAGTAAAAAAATTGGAATCCCAGCACTGCTCTGCACACCTTGTATATTAAGGCTGACAAACTCAAGGCCCATGGACCAGATCCAGCCCATGGGGGACTTAGATCTTACTTGCGGGGCTGCCCTGGAAACAGCGAAGGACTGTCTCACGGTGCTTCTTCCCACGGCCCTCCCAAGCTCCGTTTTCACTGGCTGAAGGTTGCAGGAGGACATGGCAGCAGAAAACTGAGCTCTGTAGCCCATTTTACTGGCATAGCACTCGGGCTGCCACAGGCACCCCCCAACACAAGTGACATCCTGCTGGCCATGCCTACTCTGCCAATGCCACCCCCCCCTCAAGGTCAAACACCAACCTGATGCGTCCCTCCGTGAAATTGAGTTTGACACCCGTGTTGTATACGATCGAGTGAATTTGTCCCCCAGTCCTCAGATAGGACTAGGTGAACCACTCAGAGGAATCTTCTACCCATGAATTGTGAAAGTTTGGAAAGAGGAGAGACTCCAGAATGCTGCAACGAATACATGCTGATAGCCAGTCGCCTGAATTTTAATCATGGGGATTCTGTGATGGTCATAATTGCTGGACCAGTCTTACATCACTTTTTTCAGTGGCTGTTGTAACTTTGCCAAATGAAGGGTTGTCATCTAGGACTACCTGTGTAAACTAGCTTTGAGTCAGTGTTGATTGGTGTGGAAGGTGGAGGAGAGCGAGGACTCAGATGAGGGGCCAGCACCATCAGGGAGTGGACTGCCGCTTTCAGGGATTGTGGGGGCTGGCAGCAGTGATGAGGAGGCTCCCGAGGAGCCTGTGCCAAGTGCATGTGCACGCAGGATATTTCTTGGAAGAGAACAGCTGGAGCAGCACAGGTGACTCAGGAGTAAGGGTGCAACGTAATGGCCCCTCCCTCCACGGAATATAAGCCTGGTTTCAAAAGGGTTTTGCCTTTGCAAAAGGCAAAAATTCTCTAAGGACCCAGCATTGTGTGTAGAGACTCCAGCTTATCTGAAGAGTTCTGTCAAGGCTTTTCTGGTTGGACTAATTGGCTGCAAGCTATCTTTTATCGACAAAGAAGTTTATTTTTTAGATTAAAGCTGTGAAGGTTTGAGTTGCTGCATTTGTTTGAGATTTTCTTGCTAGTAAGAGGGTTGGGTCAGAACAGTTGACACAACCTACAAAATTATCCTGGCATGGCCCCACGGGAGTCTGACAACCAATCAAAATACATTTCTTGCCACAGGAACAGGAAGTAAGTTCAAAGCCCAAGAGAGGGTATAAATCTCTCTCCCTCTCTCACCCATGTCCTCCATTTTGCCCAGGACTTCAAACCCCATTTGGTCCTGTTCCACCATTAAAACCATCCTTCCAAAGCAGTCTCCATGTTTCCAGTGTCTTTCTTCCCAGTTGGAGCTGAACCCAGCTGGACATTTCTTCCAACAAGACGAGACTGGTATTCCTTAGTCTCCCAGTTTCGAATCTGGTGCTTTAAACCACTACAACAAACTGTTTTTAAAAATGGCCTAATTAGCATCAGGACTAACTTTTGTGAGATGGGAGAAGCTGAATTCTTCCTGAAAAAAGAAAATCAGTTGTTTGGAGAAGTCAGGTCTTCTACTCACCCCAATGGAGATATTTAAAGAAAATATTAAGTTAGTTGTAAGTGAATAAGTATGAAGTTTCTTTTAAAAAGGAAGTTAGGAAAATGAATAACCTTCCTTCCTTCTTTCTTCCTTCCCCTTCCCCTTGCCTTCCCCTCTCTGTCCCTCCTTCCTTCCTCCCCCTTCCTCTCTCCTTCCTTCCTATCCCTTCCCCTTCCCTCCCTCCTTCCTTCCCCTTCCCATTCCCCCTCCTTCCTTCCCTCCCTTTCCCCTTCCCTCCCTCCCTCCCTCCTTTCTTCTCCTTCCCATTCCTCTTCCTTCCTTCCTTCCTTCCTTCCTTCCTTCCTTCCTTCCTTTCTTCCTTCCTTCCTCCCCTTTCCCTTCCTTCTTTCCTTCCTTCCTCCCCT